GAGTCACCTGCTAAAAGTATTGGACAGTATCACAGTATTAAACAATAACATAATCTGTAATAAAATCCTCTCTGTCTGTCCTGATGTCCCTGGTGGTACCTCCAGAGACATGGGCTGACAGGGCGTGCCTCTGTCTGTGTTGGCTGACTGAGAGAGCTCCTGTCTGGGTCTGACGATGCGCAATGCCCTGGATGTTCAACACTACCACCACAGTCAGCCAGTCAGTGTGTTAGTGAGGTGTGTCTAGTGTGTTAGTGAGGTGTGTCTAGTGTGTTAGTGAGGTGTGTCTAGTGGGTGTGTGTGTGTATTCAAGGCGTGTGTGTGTGTGTGTGTGTGTCTTGCAGCCTTTGTAATCCTGCCCACTTCCGAACTTACTAAGGTAAACTTTCACCCAGTCTGTCTGTCTAACAGTCTTAGAGCTGTGCATCGTTTTCTCAAAATAGCCTACACCTACAATGCATAATATGCTTACAGACTCCTACAATACTATGCGTGTCTGGGTCCCTATGTCACCCATGTGAGAGGGAGTGCACTTTAACTATCCACTCCAACCAGTAGCTATGACTACAAGAAACGTATTTGATCATGAGACAATTCCATCCAGGGAACCAAAGTGAAATCATCATCTTTAAATCACCAGAAGATCTGAGTCTGATACATTCCATTTACAGTGGGGAGAACAAGTATTTGATACACTGCCGATTTTGCAGGTTTTCCTACTTACAAAGCATGTAGAGGTCTGTAATTTTTATCATAGGTACACTTCAACTGTGAGAGACGGAATCTAAAACAAAAATCCAGAAAAATCACATTGTATGATTTTTAAGTAATTAATGTCCATTTTATTGCATGACATAAGTATTTGATACATCAGAAAAGCATAACTTAATATTTGGTACAGAAACCTTTGTTTGCAATTACAGAGATCATACGTTTCCTGTAGGTCTTGACCAGGTTTGCACACACTGCAGCAGGGATTTTGGCCCACTCCTCCATACAGACCTTCTCCAGATCCTTCAGGTTTCGGGGCTGTCACTGGGCAATACAGACTTTCAGCTCCCTCCAAAGATTTTCTATTGGGTTCAGGTCTGGAGACTGGCTAGGCCACTCCAGGACCTTGAGATGCTTCTTACGGAGCCACTCCTTAGTTGCCCTGGCTGTGTGTTTCGGGTCGTTGTCATGCTGGAAGACCCAGCCACGACCCATCTTCAATGCTCTTACTGAGGGAAGGAGGTTGTTGGCCAAGATCTCGCGATACATGGCCCCATCCATCCTCCCCTCAATACGGTGCAGTCGTCCTGTCCCCTTTGCAGAAAAGCATCCCCAAAGAATGATGTTTCCACCTCCATGCTTCATGGTTGGGATGATGTTCTTGGGGTTGTATTCATCCTTCTTCTTCCTCCAAACACGGCGAGTGGAGTTTAGACCAAAAAGCTCTATTTTTGTCTCATCAGACCACATGACCTTCTCCCATTCCTCCTCTGGATCATCCATATGGTCATTGGCAAACTTCAGATGGGCCTGGACATGCGCTGGCTTGAGCAGGGGGACCTTGTGTGCGCTGCAGGATTTTAATCCATGACGGCGTAATGTGTTACTAATGGTTTTCTTTGAGACTGTGGTCCCAGCTCTCTTCAGGTCATTGACCAGGTCCTGCCGTGTAGTTCTGGGCTGATCCCTCACCTTCCTCATGATCATTGATGCCCCACGAGGTGAGATCTTGCATGGAGCCCCAGACCGAGGGTGATTGACCGTCATCTTGAACTTCTTCCATTTTCTAATAATTGCGCCAACAGTTGTTGCCTTCTCACCAAGCTGCTTGCCTATTGTCCTGTAGCCCATCCCAGCCTTGTGCAGGTCTACAATTTTATCCCTGATGTCCTTACACAGCTCTCTGGTCTTGGCCATTGTGGAGAGGTTGGAGCCTGTTTGATTGAGTGTGTGGACAGGTGTCTTTTATACAGGTAACGAGTTCAAACAGGTGCAGTTAATACAGGTAATGAGTGGAAAACAGGAGGGCTTCTTAAAGAAAAACTAACAGGTCTGTGAGAGCCGGAATTCTTACTGGTTGGTATGTGATCAAATACTTATGTCATGCAATAAAATGCAAATAAATTTGGATTTTTGGATAAAAATTACAGACCTCTACATGCTTTGTAAGTAGGAAAACCTGCAAAATCGGCAGTGTATCAAATACTTGTTCTCCCCACTGTATGTCCTAGTCAGATCAGACTAACAAACATCTGGAGAGGGCATTTCACCAGATGTTTTCACCACTAACGCATCACAGGTGTGTGTGATTGTGTGTGTGTGTGTCTTACCCTCTGCGTGTCTCTGTCAGGTGTTTACACACACACACACACACACACACACACACACACACACACAGACACACACACACCCTACAGTTCAACCCTCTCATTAGTTAAGCAGTCTACCACAACATAGATCACAGCAACCAGGTCCCTAATGGTTTGAATTAGGATCTGGTTATAGTTTTAGGAGCCTTTGACATGGGGTTGGAGCTGGAAAACAGAGGCAACTACAAGCCACTCTGGACAAGAGCATCTGCTAAATGACTAACATGTAATAGATGTGCAACTGTTGACTATAATATGTCTGTAACAGCAGTTTTACTATGTGTCATTACTACGCTGAGTCAATTGAAGAAGAAAAAAACATCAAAACATGATCATTGAGATAATGTTTACTGCATGAGTATGACTGTTTTGTCTCGAAAGGCTGACACCAAGGGAGAATCTCAATAGCATTTCCTTGACTCCTCTCATCCTCTCTCCTCGCCTCCTTCTCAAAACCCATTGGATGAGAAAGTCAGTCCCCTCTGACCTTGTCCTCCAATGGGTTTTTAGAAGGAGGCGAGGAGAGAGGATGCGAGGAGTCAAGGAAATGAAGTTTAGATTCTCCCCAAGAAAGACTACTTCAGAAGCTACGATGATCCAGTACTGCAGTGTATGATGCCTCCAAGTGGGGGAAATGGGGAAGCTCAGAATAAATACTTATCAGCATAATAATATTCTGTCTAATCTGGGAGAACCAAGAGGGCAGGTACATAAAGCTGATCATTTAGGCCTAGATTCAATCGGATCATTGAAGATCCGCCCTGTTGTGCAATTAAAATGTAAAGGTAATGTTCCCGCTTCCGCGGAGACTGCATTCACATAAAAGCTGCATGATGGCTCAATCGGATAGTACCTTTAAATTTAAATCGCGCTGTAACACAGATCTTCTGCAGTCCGGATTGAATATATCCCTTAGAAACGTTAGTGTGAAGATCTGAGCAAAATGTTATCCTTTACACTTTAAAGACATGGGTATAAGACAACTGCAAAGTCATGATGAAGGATGTAGTGTGTGTGTGTAATGTTATAGGGTTAACAGAATAAAAATTAAATTGTAGTTGACATGACGTTGCTATCCAGGGAAAAGGGTAACACAGGAGCCTGCAATTCAGAGGAGAATGTCTCCCGAGTGGCGCAGTGGTCTAAGGCACTGCATCGCAGTGATAGCTGTGCCACTAGAGATCCTGGTTTGAATCCAGGCTCTGTCATAGCCGGCTGTGACCGGGAGACCCATGGGGCGGCGTGCAATTGGTCCAGGGTAGGGGAGGGAATGGCTGGCAGGGATGTAGCTCAGTTGATAGAGCATGGTGTTTGCAATGCCAGGGTTGTGGGTTTGATTCCCACAGGGGGTAAGAAAAAAAATAATGTATGCACTCACTAACTGTAAGTTGCTCTGCTAAATGACTAAAATGTAAAATGAGAATGAAAACAGCTACAGTATGATGTCATCTCTGGACTGTAGTGTTCTGTCATTGTCTTAACCTCTCCCATGGCTGCCCTCCCTCTCCTCGCCACTAGATGGCAATCTGAGCCCAGAGAGATGGACCGCAGGCCAGGCTTGACGTGTGTGTGTGTGTGTGTGTGTGTGTGTGTGTGTGTGTGTGGTATTAAAAAAGGTCCCTGCTGAAGCTTATTGGTGCAGTAGGGCCAGAGGTTTCTCTTGGTCTAGTCATTAGAGAACAGAGTTTGGGGGCGTTCCTCTGCGCAGCCATTGCTGATGCATGCCAGATCTTACAACGCCTAGCAATCTGGTGGCCAACGGCACAGTCATGACGTGGCATGCAACCATTGGTTGATGCATGCAATGTCTGAGCAGGGGAACAGAGCTACCCTTCTCTTGGTCAGGTCACATGGTCTGGAAAAACTCCAGCTGTCAGGTGTTGGATTGAATCCCATCCTACAGTATGTAGGCTATCTATTCAGAAAGCTTGAGACAGAACAGACCAGGTCATTCTACAGTAGTTTTATTACGTTCAATATTTTACACATTTTTATTGGTGTCATTGCAGCTTCTCTGTGAACAAAACCTATTCATTCAATAATAAATAACACAGAGAAAAACATTACATACATGAAATCTTCCCAAGATAGCAGTTTCAAGTTTGTAGGAGATATTGGTTTTAATACAAGGTGAATTTATTTCAAATATTAGATGTATGCTTGTGCATGATCAGTTGAACCATGTATCTAAACGTAATGTAAATGCGAACAGTAAGTGTTTGTTTAGATTTAATTAACAATCTATGAGAATGGATAAGGCATACCTTTTGGCTGTTAGGTAACCAGTAGAACATTTGGACTTTTTGTTTTTGTCGAAGAAAAATAAAATAAGAAATCCCAGAAAGATCATCATGGACCTTCAACATAATAATATGTCACCCTCTTACCAGATAAATGCATTAAAAACCTACCATAATCAGGCAACCAGTCAAATAAAAAGCAGCGAAAAACATAAACAACAAAATAATAAAACAACAAACAACCACAACTAAAGAATAATTCTCTCCAGTCCAGTTGCCATGGAAACAAAGCTAACAACAAGGCCTGTGGCTAACATTAGACCTCCTCATATACACCCTGGCCTGGCTGTATTCTGAGACCCTACAGGCACCAGGAAGACGACTATTTCAGATGACTATTTCAGGCCCTCTTCCCCCCCGCATTGGGCAGACTGGAGGGTTGTTTGTAGTAGCAGTCTGGGGGGCTAGCGTTCATGCCTGTAGGGACGTAGTACATGCTCTCCAGGTAGCTCTGGTCCAGAGGTGCATGACTCTGGGGCTCTGGCTTGGACCCCTGGCTCCCGGGGCTCCCGTAGCCGACCTGAGCCCCATTCTGGTGCATCGTCCCTGGGGCTGGAGCCTCTGGGTGGCGGGGAGGCTGAGGCTGGGACTGGGGGTGAGGTGCAGGTGGAGGGGGGCCATAGGGAAGGTACTGGGTGGAGGGGGCATACATGTTGGGGTTGTGGATGGAGGAATAGGGGGCCGCCGAGGCGGGGGAGTAGGGGGCGGCCGAGGGAGGGTAGAGGTCTGAGTGGGACATGGTACTCTGGGGGATGAGCACCTCCACGTACTGGCCCGTCTCTGGATCAAACAGCATCTTCCTCAGTGGCTGCACAGGCACCTCAATGTAGAAATACTTCCCCGTGTCAGGATCCATGAGGACCCTGCGAGGGGTTTGCCTGTACCCCAGACCCCCTGTACTGTCTGGGTAGTCAGACCCAGACAGACTCCCATACTCAGACCCATAGGATGGCCCCAGGCTCTGTGGGCTGCACAGGTACTGAGGGTCCATAGGGGGCAGGTTGGGAGAGTGGCTTTGGTCACTGTAGGGTCCCCCAGAGACAGGTGGCTGGCCCTGGGGGGAGCGGTGGAGAGGGGGGGCCCGACGGGGGTCCATGTGTTGGGGGTGCTGGAGAGGGCGGTCGGCCGGGCAGGGCTGGAGCATGGAGGGGTGGGGTTGGTGGAGGGACTGATACATGACTGGGGGGGGCTGGGTGGTGCTGGGGAGGGTGGATGATTTGGGAGAGCTGGGCTGGTAGCTGATCGAGCTCAGAGGCTGGGGATCTGCTCTGCACTGGTGTGGCCGGAGTGCGGGTTGACCCCCCATGGAGTAAGACAGCGCCTGGCCGGGGGAGTGGGTGGGGAAGGGAGGGGTGTGGGTGTGGGGGGAGTGGTGGTGGTGAGGGGGTGTGAGGCCGTGGGATGGGCAGCCAGAGGTGCAGGAGCAGGGAGCGGGGCAGGAAGAGGCAGAGGAGAAGGAAGAGGAGGGGTGGTAGCGGTTCAGCTTCCTCTGGGGCAGGTCAGGTAGGTGGAGGGGGCTGAAGCTCTCCCTCTCGTCATAACTAGGGGGGTCGTCTGATGCGTAGAAAAGCAGGTCGTCTGCCCTCTGCGGGCGGTCGCTGGACAAGGATCTGTGTATGGGCTGCTGTGTGTGTACGTGGTGTGTGTATATGGGGGCCTGTGTGTGTACGTGGTGTCTGTATACGGGGACCTGTGTGTTTGTGGATACCGTGGCAGGTTGTTTTGTATTGTTGAAGGTAACCGGCATAGTTTGCTCCTGAGTGTGGCTGGTTATATCCACAACAGCTGACTGGCTTGAGTGTATGGCATGGGCATGGGTAGGGACTTGGGCAGGGGCTGGGGCAGCAGGGGCTTGGGTAGGAGCTGGGGCTGGAACTGGAGCTGGGGCTGAGACTGTGAGGGTTGTGGGTCTCTGTGTGTAGATGGGGGCCTGTCCTTGTCCTTGGGTTGAGACCCCTGGTTGCTTCGGCCTTTCGTTGGATGTCTCTGTGTCTGCTGTTGTTGACGCTGGTTTGTGAGAGAAACTAGCGATGATTGTTGTCTTGATAGGTGGAGGCCTGTAGCTGGACACTGCAGAAACGGATAACTTTTTATTATAGTTAGACGCTGGGGTCAAATCGTTCGATAGATGTCTGTGGATAGTTGTAGCTGAAGTTGATGGTTTCTCGTTGGGCACAGGTCTCTCCTCTTCTGTGTGCTGTTTGAAGCTTGATGTTGCTGCCCCGGCTGGTTTCTGCTGTGTTTCACTGGACAGTGAATTTGCATCTGTCGGTCTGAACTTTGGTTTCGGTGCCACTGGCGGACCGTTGGCTATTGAGTGAACCTCTATAGTTTGCGGTCTGGTGCTTGACGTGATGGTCTTCTCTTGTTTATCTTGTTTATGTATTTCTTTAGACAACGACCTCACCTCGATCACTTGTGGTCGGTATCTTCTCATCAGTGCTGGTGAGCCTGGTAGCTTAGGTGAGTAGGTTGATTTCTTCACTGTCTCTTTTTCAGCAGTGTCTTCTTGTGTTTTCTTCTGTGAGGGTGGTGGTGATGATGCCGTGCGTTGCTCAATGTCTCTGACCGTGGCTCTGACACTAACCCTCTCCTGATTCGAAGTCGTCCTAACTCTGTCATCCATTTGAGAGGAGACTCTTCGAAGCCTGGGAGAATTTGGGACTGAATGGGTATAAGATGAAGAGGCTGATGCATTGATGGCAGATGAGGAAAAGGACGAGGCTGAGGTTGATGCATTCACAGAAGACGATGCTGAGGTTGACGCATTGACTGAGGTTGAGGAGAAGGATGAGGCTTCTTCCACAGTGCTTGGGGAAGATACGGATGAGGCTGCTTGCACAGTGCTTGAGGATGATACGGATGAGGCTGCTTGCACAGTGCTTGAGGATGATACGGATGAGGCTGCTTGCACAGAGGATGTAGACGAGGACGAGTAGGTTCTCTGTCTGTGTGAGTCACTCGTACTCCCGTCTGAGGATCCACGGGTCTGAAGAGGGATCTCTATTATGTTGATATGTTTCCGTGGGACCCCTCCACCCCCACTCCTTGTTATCTCCTCTGACACAGCCTCAGAGACCACAGACCCAATATCTGCCTGGTAGCCCTTCTCTTTGACCAGCATGGACACAGAGTGGCTGGGGGTAGGGGTGGGGGTCTTGGTGGGGACAGAGGAATGTGGAGTGCCTAGAACTGGAGCTGAGGATGAGGTTGGGGCTGGAGGAGAAGCTGGAGCTGGCGAAGCTTTGGGACCAGGTGAGGAGACCAGGGTTGGAGCTGGGGCTGGGGAGGCTGGAGCTGGGGCTGGAGAGGCTGGAGTAGGGGAGGCGGGAGCAGGGGACGCCGGGGAGGCTGTAGCTAAAGCTGAGAATGACTTGGGCTTATTGGATCCATCCTGTAGCACAAGAGAAGCACTAGACACTTCTTTGTCTTTACTGGGGAGTTTAGGGCTGCTGCCCAGCATAGGTGGCTTTGTATCTCTTCTCACCAATTCAGGTTTGTCACTAGACTCTGATACACTTCGGTGTCTCCTGGTTACTCTCGGTGACTCTGTTTCACTGGGTTTCACCTTGGTGTTGCCTGTTTCTGTTTTGACAGTGTCCTGCACAGGGGTCTTGTGTTGGTTTGACTCTGTCTCTATCACATCTACTTCCTCTGTTGCGCAACTCTTAGCTGTTACATCAGAAGGGTCCTCGGGTTCTTTGGTTGTCTCTCTGGACACCTGCTGTAAAGAATCAACCTTAGGTTTGCCTCTAGACGTTTCTCTGTCTGTTCTGTTGGATGTTGTTGTTGTTTTGTTTTTGTTTTCTCTCCAGCTGACAGCTTTGTATTCTATCTGCATCGGCTGAGGACGAGGCATCAGCTTTTCCTCTTTCTGGAAAGATATTGGGGGAGGTGGTAGCTTTTCCTCTTTCCTCTCTTCTCTCATTTCCATTGTCTCTTCACACCTCTCCTCACTCCTTTCCTCCCTCCTCTCCTCTTTCCTCTCCTCCCTCCTTTCCTCTCTCTGTTCCTCTCTCCTCTCCTCTCTCCTCTCCTCCACACTCTCCTCCCTCCTCTCCTCTTTCTCTGGTGCTGGCATGGCCTTGAATGACAGGTTGTATGTATTTTTCACCAGCCTTCTTACATCTCTCACTTTGTGCAGGGGAGCTTTGGCTTTACACCTTCCTAATTGGCAAAACCACTTCTCTC